GCACTTCTAACAAGCAGTAGAACTGAGTTATCCCGTTTCAATGGAAGGGAAGGCTTTTTTTGCGTTAGGGGATCACTGAATCGGAAGAAGCATGGTTGTTTGTAAGTTTCACATGCAAAGTTCATTTACTGTTAGCTTTTCCTCGTAAAGTAAAATCTAGTTTTCTGGAGAACTCTAGCAAATACAGCGCATCTTTTCCTCACTGGTTAATTTTTTGCGTTTGACGCATATCTTCTGTAGCTACTTAGTAACTTTTGCTAACTTCTTATAACTGCTTTGGTTGTCCGCTAATTTCTTATGAGGTATCCGTTGCAAAAAAGTTCACTTGTATAACGCTGTTATCTTACAAACGAAGAGTTCTTAAATGCTAGTCCTTAAAGGTGTATGACCTTCTTTTAGAAATTTAGAAGTATGAAGAACTTAAAACTAAAAATTATCATATATTCTTGGACTCCGACATTCCTGAATATCTTATTCTTCCATCGCCTCCCTACTCTCCCCTCACTGATGTTTCTAATGTGGTGGCGACTGAAGGGAAAAAGGGTCGCTTGCACAAAGGAACTGAGCTTTTTTTCCACTTTTCTACGCTTTCCATCCCATCTTTCCATCTTTAATGGATTACTCGAAAAAATGCTTTGAAACTTCCTGACGGAAGTGAAGGCTCAACTTGGAATTAAGACGGTCCAGGCTGTTTATTGAAATAAGTCCTGCTCAAGAACTAAGAATCAGAGTTTGCGCAACTCTAAAATAACTGTCATCTGATTTAAAACTCGTTTCTCACCGACACTTATTATTAAGCTAAAAAAACTCAATTTCAACTCGTGTACAACAAACTGACAGACAATTGGGTCCTTCCTGATTAATCACGAAGATCTCCGGGCGGTCTACGTAACTTCCGTTCAGGCCACTGCTTACTTTCAGTCGTTCGCAACTTCGTCTTCTTAATTGCTTTTTTCTTTTTGTTTTGGAGACTTGCTTTGAAGTAGTAATAGCGACAGATTTTTCTATACGCTGTTAATTTTTCACACCTCAGGCTTTGAATTTACGATCTAGTACTTATTCTGACTTGCCCCTCAAGCTGTGATGTCTTAAGATGCGATTCTTACAGTCGTTAAAGAGTTCTTTTTAAAGTACAAAAGGAGAAGGAATTTTATACCGCACTACATAATACGGTACGTGTGGAATTAAGAAATAGAGTCCGTGGCTACTGCAGAGGTAGCACCTATTGAAGAGGAGATAATTGACTTCTGTACCTGATATTAAAACAATTTTTCCTTGAGCTGTATCGATCAACAACAGCACTAAACTCTTCCTGCCTCGTTTTGCGTTCTCTTTCACTTTTCGTTTTTTAGCGTCTTCTGCAGTGTTAAATTTCAGGTTTTAATACGTGATCGTTAGAAGTTAGTGAGTTTTTTTCAGTAACGGGCTGCTTTGTGCAGTCAGAGCACTCTGAGACGACTTGTTGAAGGAAGTTATTGAGAAACTGTTGCTGTTGTTAACCAAAAATGTTGACTGAAGCACAAAGAAAAGCCAATTTGGAAGCAGAAGAGTACCTAAAAAACCTTGAGTTAGAATTCAGTTTTGGTTGTATTAAGGTAAGCGTCACATTTTACTTCTGTTTAACTTCTTAAAAATTCCTTTGCTTCTTCACTAACCTGTCGCAAGAAAACATTTTTTTAGCAAAAGTGCTGGTAGTGATCGCCTGTTTTTTCTTTTTTTTTTTTGCAAGCTGCTGTGGCTCCTTTTAAGGTAGGGTTTATCTCTTGACATTTCAGTCTGGAAGAGTTTCGTTTTTTAGCTATCGAAATGTTTTCATTTGGCAAATTTATAATATTTGGTTTTAATATAGCAACATTAAACTGTTGGTTTTCTCAATACCATACAGGAAAATAGAGCAGACTCATGTCACCAGCACGCGGTATTTTTGGAACAAATGCGAAGGAATGCTGCTGAGGCTTTCAAATTCTTTAAAACTAACTGCGAAAAACGAAAATATCCAGAAAGCTGCTTGAAGTATGCAAAATATCTAATCGTCGGCAAAGGTTGGTTTGCAGCTAAAATTAAACTTACCGTTTCTTTTTTTCGTTCGACCACTTCATCTTGAAATATAAGTTTTAAAAGTTGAGTGACGCTGATCTTCATGCATTTTGTAACGAGTTACATTGTGCGTTTAAGTAAGAAGAAGAACTCCAGTTTTAATTTCTTGTGACAGCTGTTCTAATTGCTTTTCCGACTTGCAGCTACAGAAAATGCAATTATTTGTCACCGGTGATCCTTTTACCGAACAAAAAATTTAGATTTTTTACATCATTGTCTTTTCACTCTGCTTACCTGATCTCGCAAATATTTAAATTATTGGCAGTTTTTCAATTGGTTTTGGCCGTTACAATGCGTTCTGCTTCTAGTTAGGATCGCTCAGTTTGTGTTTTTGTTTCTGGCCTCAGGCGAAGATGAAATCTCCAGTATGGAGTGGAATCGATTTTTCTTTCCGGGATTAGGTCGCGTGCTCTATGATCTTTAATTTTACCAGGTGCTCTTAACACTTTTTTTGACGGTAATTTTTTTAGGGACTTGGTTAGGTGTGTTCTGTTTTAGGGAAGCTCTGTCCTACATTTTCTGCCTCATGGGAAGCCTTTTTATCATTTTTGCTGGAAAGAGCCTTATCGTTCTTTCTGCTTTAAAAATTATATACTTAAAAAAGAAGTTCATTTTAATTTCTACGTTTGGGCAACAGGCTTCCATCGTAAATATAACGCCTTTAGAATTCTCATGCTCTATATGTAGCCTCATTAACTATGCATTTTACGTTTCGGCACTCATCAGTTTCCATACCGAAAGCGTCATTGTGGTAAAAAACCTGTAGTATATTCGCTTCCTCATTTCTGTCACAATATGGACTTATTTCCTATCATAGTCGTCCTAGTTGAAAGCCTTCTTAGATTCTTGCATTTGTTTTTTTTCAAGTTGGAGAGATTTTTCAGCATTCCTGCCGGGATGAACTGAGAAGTCAAAATAAGTTATGGCTTTTTGCAGAAACAAAGAGTAGAAATAAAACTGTACTTTTATCGCCTGCAGCTTAACGAAATAGACTTTTGTGTTTTTTGCAGAAGCGACAGCGGTAGAGATATTCCTATCATCTATAGTTTTTTTTTTTTTTTTTTTGATGGTTAAGCCTACAGAAACGGCTGTTGATTTTCTGCTCTTAGTGGCTACCCGTGATATTCTTTATGAATTTTTTGGTCGTTTTAAAAGTGTATGCTTCCTGAAATATTCCAGGTAACAAAAGTCATGATATTTTTGGCTATTATGGGTTGGTAGGATATTTTCCTAAGATTTATTTTCTTTTAGAATGTGAGCCAAGTATAGAGGGCGCAATAAAGCCACTAAAAATCGCTTGTGAAGGAAATGTAGCTAGTGCATGTCATCTGTTGTCTCTCGTTTACTACAATACCAAAGGTGTCAAGGCAGCTTCAGATGTTGAAAAATACATGCGCAGGTAATTCAATAATTAAAGTTTTTCAAAGATATTTTCAAAGAGGCTTGAACTGCCACTGAATCATGGCTTTGTCAGTGCTACTGGGACGGCATAAGCCGATGTTCAGGATAACATAGCCTCTTTTGTTAGAAGGATTACTGAGAAGTCATTGCGCTGCTTTAGCTGTGTAAATCAACCAAATTAACATTTTTAAGTATTATTTATGAGTTTCATACGTTATAGGTTTTCCTTTTTTTGAAAGGGAACACTGCTGATATAGCCCACAATGCGCTTAACTTTCTCGAAAAGTTTTTCCGTTGCTTTAATAAAGAGCCTGTTGTCCGTGCCAGAAATTCAACATAGTTTGGTTTGGAAGTTTATGAAAAAGTCGCATAAGCCTGACAAGACAGCTTTGGGAAAAAATAAATTATTCCTTGCTAGCATGCTAGCATGATGTTACAGTTTTGTGTTTTGTAGTTCCTTAGAATATCTGCAGACGTTATTTTTATGGTTTTGCGTAGTTAGCAGCATATTCAGCATTTTAAAGCTCCATTTACCTTTCAACCTTCAAGTCAGTGTTCTTTTAATAAACTTAGGTTGCTAACAAGCTTTGGAATACAGAAATAGTTCTAGGCAACCTAATGGTATCCCTCAGAATAATTCTTCTTAAAGCTTCATGCCTGACCTTGTCAGAAGAAGTAGAAAATTATTGAGTAAACCAATTAAAAGTTTATTCTTGAGAAGAAACTTTTAACTTAAAGTAAATACCTCTGGTAAACCAGAATGCTATTCGGTTTTTTGAAAGTGCGGTCATTTACGACAAGATAAAGCGTGTCGTAAGGGGAGATCTTTTTGCTTGTTAAACAGTGGCTTTTTTTATTGTTTTTGACAGAATTTTCAGTAGTGGAGGTTGTAAAAGAAGCTTATGTTTGAACCCTTCTGACAGGCTCGCAACTTCAGAGCGTGCGATTTAGAGGATGGGAAGTCGTGTTGGATTCTGAGCACTTGGTATCTCGGAGCAGTCAGTGGAACTGAAGTCGTGGATGGCAAGAAGGTGTTTCTCTTATTTTTGCCTTGGTTGAACCCAATATATAATTTTTTTAGTTTTTTCAAATGTCAGGTACTGTAGGTTTTAGAATGTTTCACCCTGTCATTCAGAACTAAATGGTTTAACAGAAGTTTACTGGCTTCAAACAAATGGTTTAATAGAAGTTTACTGGCTTTAAACAAAATAATAATATACAAATACTACATTCGAATAATTGAAATTTTATGTTTGATTGGTTTTTTTGACAACAGCTTCTAAATGACATTTTACTGTACATATTTGATAAATAAAAGTGAAAGTGTAGACGTTTAGATCGTTTAATTCAAAAATTTGACAAATGAGAAATGAGAATTTTATTAGCTCGTTTTCTGTGTGATAGGTATTGCAATAAATATCTTAACATTTATGGTTATCATCCCCCCGAATGTTTTTTGTTTAGAAGTTCTTAACTGGGAAGGATAAGTGAGTGGGATGAAATCTGAGGTCTCTGGGGTCTCTCATAGGCAATAGAGAAAATTGGTTAAGGAGAGAGGAAGAGCGCAACATGAGCAATACTTTCTTCTGAAATTGAAAAGTTAGTTTAATTTATTTTCTGTATTGTATTTTTTGTCGAGAAAGACTAGCTTTCTCAGTAGTCTTAGGAAAAAAAATTGCTTGTTTATTTTCTTTTCTAAGTTGATTATTTTAAGTTCTTCAATTAATTGATCGATTTAAAATGTCTCTTTGTCTGCCACTGAATGGTCGACACGAGTTCTGCTGATAATATGAATCAGTCTCATAATAAGCAGTTCTCGTGTGCGCAGCATTCTTGCAACTGGTTGCGGCTGACGCTTGTACAGGCAAAATATTTCTTTCTTTGCCCATGTTTTTAGCCACCCAATATGCCGAATTTTTGACCTCATTTCATTCAGGTGTTGAAGTTGCAAAAATGGCCATGTATTTCTTACTTTACATTTGCCAAAAGTTCGATTTATCCGAATAAAACTTTTTGTTGCGCTACAGCAACATAAAGCTGAATTTCCGTAAAAATGGGCAAATTGTGAAACATAGAAAAATAATAGTGAAGAAACACAGATTTCTCAAAAGGTTAGCAGAAGTATGTTAGCAAATAAGAAACAAAAGGAGGAAGAAAAGATTTGCTCATATGTTCTGCTTCCTTGAGCTCATCGTATAATCCATTAGAAAAGTTGTAAAGAACCATATTTGAATTTCTGCTGCAGGTTTCATGCTAAAACCTACAAACTCGAATGCCGACAACAGTGTAGTTTGATGACCTAGCTTCTATCTCTAAGCCAAGTTAGTTGCTAACATTCCTCTAGAGGTAAGTTTAGAAGGAGTACGCTATTTACGCAGAGGAAGTGTTGCCATATCCTGCCAGACGCTTTGCGAAATGTGGGTCTTTCCTTGCGAAGGTGTTGGGAACGAGGGGCAATCTTACTGAAGATATTGTTTTTGGGTTAAAACGTGTTGCGTACTAGTGCATCTTGAAATTCAGGAAGCGGGGCCATTGCATCTTCTTGGTCTTGGGAGTGGATCATCGCATTTATCTTTTTTGGATTGGTGCAGCTTGTGGTGAATTCATCCTCGCGAAGGGACGAAATGATTGCGAGTCTTCTTTATTTCTTGGAAGTAGAAGGTCTGCATTGGTTGGTTGGTTGTTGTTATATGGATTTTAAGTCATGACTTGTAGAGAGAGGCAACAAGTAAGAGTACTGATTGTTCTTGTTCCGATCCATTATTGAAATGTGCGCTTTCCTTATACGAAGTTCCTGTGCATCCCCTCTGAGCTTCCAAGCCTGCAGCTTCGTAAATTTGCCGTCCTGGAGCAGTAGGACGTTTAACTTGTACTGAGTTTTAAAACGTGCCACTATTCCAAGTGAACAACTGGGTGTTTTAATTCGTTCAAAGTGACGTCATCGCCTGCTCCTCTCACCTCTTTTAATAAAGGGTTTCAAGTTTTTAAGGTACTCTTCAAACTAAAGATATTGTGACCAGAAACTAAGTTAGTTCTAACGGCCACTGGTTTGGTAAAGTATCCAGATTGGTATTTCTGAGTGGGGTGCAGTGATTTTTACTGAAAGTTATCGAGACTGCTGGTTGTATAAATTATAAGTGGACGAATGATAACACTGAGCAGTGGCCTTAAAATTATGGCCATTTTGTGGTCACTATGAAAGTTTCTTGCACGTATAATTTTAATTCAGGTATTTGAAGATTTAAGTTTTATTTACGTTAGTCAGGCTCTGTTTGTTGTTGATTTATTGCATTTTTGAATTTCTAAATTTTTTTTAGGTTAACGTGGAGAAAGTGAGTTTTCTCAAACGGGATCCGGAACTAGCTTTGAAATACGGGTTGATTGCTTGTAACCTTGGAGTTCCGCAGGCATGCGCCAACGTTAGCAGGTACTTTGTTTATTTCCAACTGCTATTGCTTCTCCTGTCTTAGTCAGAGAAGGTAGTTCTGGGTGAGGATTAAGTTGCCTTATTTAAAACGTTCTTTATTATGAAGAAGAAATATAAGCGGAATATATAGAATTGGTAGGCAATGCCTACTGTTCCCTTCTTTCAGGATGTATAGTATTGGTGACGGGGTCGAAAAAAATGAAGAAAAAGCCGCCGAATACAAAGATAAGGCCTTAAAATTGGCAGGAATGAAACAGAAAAAAGAAGGCTTTTTACGCTTCTAGGAAAATAGTGTTAGATCCATCAAAAAGTTTAATGTATATCCGCTTTGTTTCACTTTTGGACGTAATTTGCTTGTTTATCATTTACGGGAACTCTTTGTAGTATTCTCCGACAATTTTTTTATTTGAAGTTAAATCTTCCAGTTTCGAGCAACTGTAGTTTTCATTAGTTGTGGTAGATTGAGGCTTTTTTTAGATGAAGTGACGGAATAAAAGTTTGACCAATAAACTTAGTTACGGTTAAAAGTAGAGGTTTTTCCACGGCTCTGCACATCTGTTTGATTTTATTGTAGTTTTTTGACGTAGAACTATCAATGTTTGTTCGGACTTGGGTCAGAATCAAAAAAAAGGACCACGATAGTTTTTTTGATTTTTCTTTCATTTTTCTATATCCAGGTTGAAGGTCAGACACTAAAACAATTTCTTTCTTTTTCACTTTATTCTTTATGAGATTGGTATTTACTTGTTACTCTCCCACTTTCAGTAATTAGTCAAAGTTAGCCACTGAACGCTCCAACTCTAATTACTGCTACTGACAAGAAAAGAAAAATGTCTTCTGAACTGGCTTGCTGTACTACAGCAACAGTGACGGAAAGTATGCTACGGCTGAGGCCGGGGCAGTAATCGAGATACAAATTTTTTCCTTTTTTTTTTTCAACAACTAGTACGGAGTAGAAATTCGGTGACAAATGTTGGTTTTCTCGGGGTTTGACGGCGATTATTTGCGAAGTGGCTTTTTGCTTCCAGTCTCCTGCCATTTGTAAGGGTGAAACACCTAGAATCGACCCCTCATCAAAAACGGATTGACTGCAGTTTCAAAATCTGGTTATGTTACATTTTGTTAAGCATAGTAAAAGAGAAATCTGTAGGACTAATAGTACTTTTGCTATCAAATACATACTAGTTCACCCCTTCAGGATCTCAAAATGTACCTTTAACTTTCCGGAAATTCAGGATAGGTTGCTTTATTTTTATGTTTGTCATTACTTGTGTTTGGGATTCCCGGTGCTTCGGTTTGTGCTATATTTGATGAAAAAATGGCTTCTTTGAAAGATACGATCCCACAACATTGTAGCCTAACTATACAGTCCGACTGCCCAGCAGCGGGTGCACCGGGAAATACTAAAATGCGAACATAGTCCAACTCGTTATCAAAATTTGAGCCCATACTAGTACACAATAGGCCATTAAGAGCAATTTGGGAACATTACTGCTTAGTTGTGCCTTTCAAAAAATTTTAGTTATAAAGCTTGATTAAAGACCGTTTAGAGTCAAAAAAAAAAATGCTCCTAAGATCTGACTCCAAAACGTTTGCTCCAGCGGTAGACCGGTAAAAGTAGGCCCACGAATAAAGCTACTGTTAATTGGAAAATTTAGGAAAATGATTCTCCTCAAGTTCTTCCGTCAAAAAAATGTCATTTCATTTTTGTGGCGTCTTGCAGGTAGTTAAGGCAAAAAACTGGCTAAAAAGTAACAATGATGTGATATTCCTCATAATCATTTATGCTTCAGCTCGATACTGACTTATCTTTCCTGAACGGTATGATCATTTTTTATTGGCTCAGGGTTATTGCTAGCAAGCAAAAAAGATGAAGAGTACATCTCAAAATTACTTTGAGAACGAAATTGCAAGTGGAAAATAGAGGCCACTACATACGATGTGAAGGTTGGTGTAAGATGGCGCTTATGCCAAATAAAGGTCGAAACAAATTTTTTTTTGTAAGTGTTTTGAATTCAAGATTTTACTGCGAGTCTACTGATGTTAACTTGTATCATGATTGACGCAGTATAGGACGAGAAGTTTGTGCCTTGTTCTTCTCGAATTCAGGAGATGAATTAATAGTAAGCCATAAAGGGATGACAACTATTTCCAGCGTTCCAAAGATACGATAACCATCAAAAGTACTTTTTCAAAAGGTGTATCCTCCTGTTCAACTTAAGCCAAGGAAGTATCTAACATTTTAACTCTTAAATTTTCCCCGCGACCTGTCAACGTATTCTTTTCACTTTTGAAGAGGGTTGACAAGTTTATGTTTGTGAGTGGTTGTCACAGATAAACACTGTCCTTTCCAGTTCGGTCTTGTTCCATTTTCTCTAGTAGCCAGCGCAAATTGAAGTAACGATTCTCGTTCGTAAAAAAAATCACCACCGAAGTCGATCTGTAGAGTGCCGCCTAGGAAGGAAGAAATAAATGCTGTAAGAGTAGCGGTTTTATTAGTGGAGTATTACGGCGACAACTTTTCAGTACCTGGAACTTAAGCATCCCACTTTTGGATGCTGCTGAGGAGGTAGTATCGCTTAAGAGCAAAAAACAATTCAAACATCGGATACGCAACGACAAATGTAACTTTCCAAGTCTTTGCATAAAAGTGCATATGCAAATTGCTGAATGCCCCTAATAATTCCCTAAAGCCAAACTGCAAGATATTTCTGAGAAATACCTTCTAAAATCTGCTAACATTAAGTTGAGTGCGAGGTTTGTTCAAGAAATTCGTAACAAAGTAGTCGTTTTTTGAAACCAACAGAAGAAAGTCCTAGAGTTTGCTGCCGCTCTGAAGAACAAAACTTCACTCTGTAATGAACCACTCATCAGAAGCGCAAAGAGCAGAGGATTTTTCATGAGAACTGAGAACTCAGTTATAAGAAAAATTACACCGTGATTTTTACTCTTTAAGTACGCCCATCTTAATTCAGCTCCTTAAACCATACGGCTCTATACTTGAAAGGAAGAGATTGATTAACCCTGAACGTTAATCAGAAAAAGGTTTAATACCACGCTAACAAGAATGCAGCAAAAAACTGTGTTATCCGTATTACTATAGTACAGACCCCATAAATGATACCAGAATGGATGGGCGACAGAATATCAACAAAACGACCAAAGAAAAATACTCCCAACAGGAAAAACTTGAACTTGAGAAACCAACACAACACTTGCATCAAAAAAAACACCGACATCCTTAAAAAACGAAATGAAAGTTGCGACTACACATTCCCCCATCCTTCTCCTACCTCAAACTTACTGAACTTCTGTAACGGTTAGTATCTTCATAAAAAATTCCACATGTGAATTAACTAGAACAGCATACATGAAACTGGAAAAAAATATTATTATCACAATCAGATCACAAGTGGGGTAATGAAATGCTCATTGTTCATTAGCCACTCTTCATACCGAATTTGAAACAAACAGTATTGTTCGGAATTTTCTATATCGAAAAAGATCATTATCACAGCCAGATAAAAGATCTTCTAAAAGTTGGTTCAAATATTTAAATTAAAACCCGGGAAAACAGGACACTTTTAAATGCTTTGAAAACCAATTAGCTGCTTTTTACAACAACCACAAAACGACCTTGGGATTCAAATAATTTAACACATCAACGTAATGCTCATTGTTGAGGGCGAAGTACACTCGGAAGGATAATCATATTACTTCGTACTATGCTAAAAATTATATTAAATCCCATTCAGCCTGTCGAAACTAGAGAACTTACTGCCGAAATTACTGCTTTTCAACTAACACGAAATCGTCATCGTCCTCTTTACGAGGCTTTCGCCTACGGCGAACACCTTTCTGACCCGCCCCCTTATCGGATTCACCGTCTGCAGACGACACGGAAGACTAAAACATTATACTAAAAACTTTAAAAACTCTCCAACAACATCAGAAACCTTCTGGAAAAGCAAATTGAAGCTCTGAAAAAACAGAAAAGCTTCTTCCAAAAAACTCAAATAAAACAGCTAAGCAATATGACTGAAAACAGCCCCACAACTTTCGAGCAAAGCCTTTGAAGCCTTAAGTTGAAACGATTTTGAAACAACTACCAAATATTCAAGACGAAATTTTGAACTAAAATGTATGGCAGTTTAACCCTCAATTTTCGCACCAGAAAAACAAGTATCCGAATTTACCGAACAAAGACATGTAAAGGTGAAACCACCTGGCTACGGCCTTCATCATTTGCATCCGACGCTGATCCTTCTTCTGAGCCTGCAGACCCGTCACTTTTCTTTCCATCGTTTTTTCCTTCTT